ATCAGAGGGAGCCAAGTATATCGTCTGACACAGGCAATAGGCCAACAGCCAGTTGCCTCGCAGGGCTGTGCGAACCAATCAAATCTTGCCAGCAGGGACCAGGGCTATACAGGAAACAAGACTCGTAGCAGAAGCTCCAGCGGGAGGGACAAGGCTGAGGAGCAGGGCGCCCGCGCCCGACAGAGAAGGAAAATCTTTAGTGACATGTTTGTGCATAATTCCCCCCTAATCCCCTGCATGGGGCAGGCTAATGGCTTAGCAGCACAGGCCCCAGCGATGGCTGAGTGGGACCCTGAATCACAGGGGACAACTGTTCTGAGGGGATTTTGAAGATTTGGAGAGCATATTGTGTGGGCTGAGCTAGCTGAGAAGTATAATTCTTCTCAAGTTTCCAGACTTTAGGGGAGCAACTTTGACAAAGTAGTCACTGAGAACTAGTTTGCAGTTATTTCTTACCAGGGACAATTTTGACTACAAAAATTTGGAGACTGACCTAGCAGCCTCCTTTCCACAATCACCGGCCTCGAGCTTATCTAGGTGTCTCCTCTTGCAGCTCCTTGTGGGTACAACGTGACCTCCCAGAACGGAACCATCTACTCCCCCGGCTTTCCCGACGAGTACCCCATCCTGAAGGACTGCCTCTGGCTGATCACCGTCCCCCCGGGGCACGGAGTGTACATCAACTTCACCCTGCTGCAGACCGAGGCAGTGAATGACTACATCGCTGTCTGGTAGGAGCCCCTGGCCCAAGCGCACCCGCTCGAGGAGCTGTTCGGGGTCAGCCTTGTGCTGGGTGCTGCTCGCGGATGCAGCAGCTCACGGCGCTGCTCTGCGCCTCCCCGGCCGGTCAGGGGAAGGGAGACTCCTCAGGGTCCTGCTGGGCTTCTTGGCGCAGTGACCCAGGAGAACTCTACAGGATGTTTCAGTTTACATTTTAAGTGAGACTCCTTTTGAGTGGTGGGGACCCTTGCCATGGTCCAGCCCGTGCAGAACTACTGACGAGATGGCTAAGCAGGGCCTGCTGGCCGCCCTGTCATTGCTGTGACAGCGGCCATACAGGAGTGCTGTGAGGGAGACGGAGGCAACGCAGGACCAAGGGGCAGGACAGGGGCAGGACAGGGGCAGGACAGGGGCAGGGGCAGGCTCCTGATGAGCTGGAGCTGTGGAGTGACCATCTCTGCCTTCCAGTTGTGATGGAGACTTTGTAGTGGAGCTGACAGGAAAGAGTGAGGGCCACGTGGCACTGCCCCGGGAGCGTGGCACACACCCGGCACTAGGCAGGTGCTGTGAGAATAGCAACCATGCGCTGAGGACGAAGCTGTGCATGTGTGTATATGCGTGTGCGTGTTGCATGTGCATGTGTGTGCATGTGTGTAGGTGTGGTGAAGGTCCATTGTGTGCACCTATGTGGCATACATTCAGATTTCTCTATTTTATAAGTCTGTGTAGTGTCTATGCGTGTGGTGTGTAGTGTGTGTCTGGGTATCTATTTGTGTGTCTGTGAGGGTGGGTGTATCTGTGTGCCATGGGGGTTGCTGTGTCTGTGTGCATCGTGTGTGGTATGTGGAGCGTGTGTCTACGCACGTGTTTCTCCGTGCACGTGAGCATGTACATGATCGTGTGCTTGCCTCTGTGTGCAGTGTGTGCCAGTGTGGGGCTGGCAGAGCGCTCTACATGGCTCTGTGGAACGGCAGGAGCTGCCAGCACCATCGAGCAGGGACGGAGCACAGGGCCTCACCCGCGCTGCCAGGACCCAGGCTTCATCCAGGGACAGCGTGGTGAGGACATGAGAGCAGCATCCTCATGCCAGGAGGAGGCTGAGCACAGCAGGGCACCTCGCGGTGGGCAGGCAGGAGGTGGCACTAGAGCTGAGGCATGGGCCTCTCGGGGAGGCGACTAGCCTGAGTGTGAGGAGACTCAGAACCCAGAACCATCCTACAGCAGAGCCTGCCACAGAGGCCATGTGGCGCCGCTGCTGTCCACACAGACGCTGCAGGGAAGGAAGGCAGAATCAGGCAGCTTTGAACAGGCACAGCTGAAATGCTCAGTCAGGAGAGGCAGACGCACTGGTCAGCTCTGCGCTAGGAGCTGTCCCACGTCTAAGCGCAGTGTCTAGAGCATGGCTATGTTTTGTTGTTTTGTCTTAATTATCTTAATTTACCTGAGAAAGTCTGTGAAGCCCATTCCCTATTAAGTAGGCCTCCCTGGGGTTGGACCTTAAGCCATGGGGATCGGAGCAGAAGGTGGAGCGTGCGCTGCACCCACCAGAATCAGGGAGAGTCCGGTGAAGGGGGACCAGCTGGCTGCCGCTGGGCTTGACGGCCCCCAGCCCTGCGTCCGAGCTGATCGTAGATCCAGGCTCCCCTGACCCCTCCAACTGCCCTGTGTCTCCCAGGGATGGTCCGGATCAGAGTGCGCCCCAGCTGGGTGTGTTCAGCGGGAACACAGCACTGGAAACGGCCTACAGCTCCACCAACCAGGTCCTGCTCAAGTTCCACAGCGACTTTTCCAATGGAGGCTTCTTCGTGCTCAATTTTCATGGTTTGTTTACTTTCCTTGCATTGATAGGACCCAGAACCCCAAGAGAATGTCCCATTTCCAGCCCAGGTTGCCCAGTTGCCCCAAAAGCTTGGAGCATTGTCACAAAGGGCGTTCAGAGATCCCGGGAGGCTCCCACAGTCAGCAGGGCTTCATGCTTGAGTGCGCTCGGGGAGTCCCAGCTGCAGAGCCCACGGAGCTTCTTTGGGTTTACACATCCCTGTCCCAGAGGTGCTGGGCCCCGGCCCTGGTGGCACCAGTGGGAACAAGGCAAACCTGTAAGGGTTGAGGGGGAGCTCTGAAGGAGACAGCAAGTCGTGGGCCCTTATGCTGCCTGGGCGCCCGACCCCTCAGGACAGACAGCACGGCTCACGGAAGAGGGCGGGGAGCCGCACTGCGTCCCAATCGCTGTCTTGTGTCCCAACGTTGCATTGCTTCGGTTGCGCACTTCCCTTCCTGTGACTTAAACGTTCCTTGCACTGAGGCACTATGTAGGATTTATAGAGCAGTGAGCACACAGCGGCGCGTTCCTGGAGGTATCTCAGCGCTCAAAAGGAACGAGGCTCATAGGGGGAACGCTTGTGCTCGTCGGCAAATGCAACTGCCTTACCCCTGTGCTTTTCATGAAACACTAGCTTTCCAGCTGAAGAAGTGCCCGCCACCGCCCGCGGTCCCCCACGCAGACACGCTGGCCGAGGACGAGGACTTTGAAATCGGTAAGCCCCCCCCAGTCACGACACCTGCAGTCTGCCCTCTTAGCTTCCCTCGCTGCACACACTGCTCAGGCCAGTCAGAGCGGAGTTTGCCAGAAGGGTAGGAAGGGCCTCGATGCGCTGCATTGCTGGGCCTCGCCCGAGACGCAGCTTCAGACAGAGGTGTTCTCTGGCTTTGTGTCCGTGGTGTCTGTCTCACCACCTGTGCTTCTCCTTCGTCACTTGAAGCATAGTTTCCTCCTTGGCCTGTGCCGGCTCATTTTGTTTTCCAGTTTCCAGAGGCTGCTTAGTTAGGGAAGCATGCAGCACACACTTGACAAGAGCCCAGTCATCCATAGCTTAAGGAGGACCAGAACACCACTGAGGCCGGCATCCAGTCAGCCGGCTATGCTGCAGGCTGATGTGCAGAAATGCTGCTGTTGCTGTACACCCGTGGCCAGACTCCGTAGGCAGTCACCAGGCCACGAGAGGGCAGCTGTCGTGTGTGCTGGCGGGGCAGCTGCCGTGACATCTCAGCTCCTGTGCGAGACAGCTCCTTCTGTGGCCACACCGTGTTGCGGTCCCTGGCCAGGCGGTGTGACCCTGTCCCTGGCCTGCTCATCATCAGGCGTTGTAAGCCAAGGTCAAACCGAGCACTGCATGGACACTCAAGCCCCTTGCCCTCCCTCCAAGCGTGTGGCATTATGCTTGTCCCAGACGCCTGCCACGCTTTCTGTTTACTTTGTAATCACCGGGGCAGGGGAAGCCCAGGTGTGCCAGCAAAGCACAAAGAGATAGCTCATGGTCGCCACACTGACACTGGCTGGCTTTAAGGTAGCATGTTTATGAACGTGGAGCTGAGAGTGACGCTTCCTGAAAGCTGAACAGAGCACACGCAGACCTTGAGTATGCCATGGGTGGTGCGCTGACCAACACGTGTGTTATGCAGTGCATTGGGAAGGCCCTAGAGGGTTCTAGAAAGGTAACTCCCTCTGGGTCGGCTTGACTCTTCCAGGAGACTTCGTGAAGTACCAGTGCCACCCTGGGTACACCCTGTTGGGGAGCGACACGCTGACCTGCAAACTCAGCGCCCAGCTGCAGTTCGAAGGCTCCCCGCCGGCCTGCGAAGGTACGCTCAAGGCCCAGTGCTGCGGCACACGCTGTCCTGAGTGGGCGTGGTTCTATCCCTTTCCAAGCAGTGACCCTGTCACAGTGCACATTTCCTGCTAATAGGAGTCTCTAGCTCTGGGGAAAAGCTTCATCAAAACAGAAGTCATGTTTCCCATTAACTTACCATGAAAATGTTCAGGCTTATGGCCCAGTCCAAACGGTTTTAAAATCCACCCCTTGGACAGTAACAGCCCTCTGCCGGTCATGAGTGTGCCTCTGTGCCCCTCCCAGCCACCCATTAGTCTGTCCTATGCTTTATATTTCAAAGTAAATTTTGTGTGTCACAAAATTGTTCACTTGTAATTCAGCCTGAATGGAACTAGCTGTTTAATATTTGTGATGTAAAATTTATACACAATAAACAGTGTATAACCCTTGTTTCTCCACACCTTCAAAATAAATAGGCCCTACGCAAGAATTTAGACCATTTGCAATAATAGAATAAGCTTGGAGCCAGATTCCATTTGGTCAAATAGAATACATTTGCTTCACTTGAAAAAGAGAACTGAATGGGTACCACTAGCTAGTACTGTCTAGTACTCCTGGATAGTGAAATGGCTTAACAACTACAGATGGACTCGAACGGCCCACGCAAGTCAGAAGCAGGAGCAGTTCCCCAGCGAGAGCTGTCCGAATTGGGGCAGACACAGTGCCTTGGCGGTGGGCTTCTCCCTGGCTGGGAGTCACGGTGAGGCCACCCAGTGGAAGGAGGGAAGCAGCTCTGAACTCAGGGCGAGGACACCCAGGGAAGAGTGTGGCCTGCGCCAGGCCCGGGAAGGTCGCTGAGCCCAGCTCTCCGTCCCGTGGGAGGAGGGCTTACCTGCCTTACTTGTGGGATCCAGGGGAACTCGGTGAATAACAAGTGGACTATTGGCTGAGGGTCCCGTGGAGCTCTCTGCCCGCTAGAGACAGCCCTCCTTGTCCTGCAGGGCTCAGGTTGCCTGGTGCAGTGAGTGCCTGCAGCCCTAGCGGGGTGTGTCTGAGCTCAAGCTGTGACATCCCAGTCTCCTCGGAGAGGAAAGGTTCTCACCGACTGAGACGGAAAGGGGCCTGCAGGTGCGACCGGTAATGACTGAGTGTCTATAGTGAGCTCAGTCACTCCCTAAAAAGGAACGCTGAGGAAAACTTCGCAAAGAGAGCTTCTGTTGTGGGAACGCCGGGGTGGAAGTGCAGGCACAGTGGCCTGGGCGCTTCCCTGGAGGGCAGGACGTGGGTCACTGAGACGCTGTCCTCTCCTGTCAGACTCAGTCAGGAGACCAAGCCTCTGCCCAGGGAAAGATCGATGGGCAGCCACCCCAGCAGCACAGTGTGAGGGGCTATGTGGCTTGGTTCACAGGAGAGGCGCTCTCCACACCTGTGAGTCAGAGCCAGGGCAGACAGCTCCGGTGTTTCTGAACAGAGGACGCTAAGCTAAGGGCCTTAGCCATCCTGGGAAGGCACATGCACGTGCAGGCCACGCATGCCGAGAATGCAACACACACTTAGTGCCTTGGCCTTGTCACAGTTACCTGGCTTTATTTAAACAGAGTTTAATTCGTGGCTATCCAGGAACAGAGGCAGCCCACTGTGAACATCATCGCTACGGTCCTTGGGTGTCACTGACCCCCAGGACGCTCCGTGGCACTGCTGCTCGGGCTGGAGCTCCTCTCCTCCCCAGCTCAGCCCTGCTGTCCCCCAGCCTGGCGCCTGTCCTCCCCTTCAGCTGTAGAGTACATTCATTTGAAGGAAGCGAGGGAGGTCCTAGCTCCACTCTGAACAACTCATGGTTTGAAAACAGAAAGAGCAAGCATTGTGGTGCACATTGGTAAAGCTAGCACTCTGGGAGGCTGAGGCAAAAGCTCAAGACCGAGCCCAGAGCCCAGCCTTGGCAATTTAGTGATGTAGCAAGACCTTCACTCAAATAAAATATTTTTAAAAGAGTCTGAGGATACAACTTGGTGTGATGCCTTGGATCCAGCCTCCAGTACCACCATCATCACCACCACCACCACCATTACCACCACCACCAACAACAACACCACCATCACCATCACTACCACCACCACCACCACAATCACAACCACCATCACCACACTACCACCACCACGACCATCACCACCACCACAACCATCACAAACACCACCACCACCATTACCACCACCATCACCACTACCACCACCACCATCACCACCACCACCACTATCACCACCACCACCATCATCACCACCACCATCACAAACACCACCACCACCATTACCACCACCATCACCACCATCACCACAACCACCACCACCACCACCATCATCACCACCCCTCTGCTCTGAGCACTGTCATAGATGGGGAGCAGGGGAGAGTTGCTGATCATTTTGCGATCTGCAGGCGGTGTCGCCTTATATGAAGCCTACCTGGATATACAAGGGCGACTGTGGGATGCCACAGCTATGTCTTTCAGAGCTTGGGAAGTAGAGGGATTCAGAGGAGAGGGGAGTTGGTGGCCAAAGTTTGGGTTAGACCAGTGCACACACTGGTTTTGAGAGAGCAGGCAGCTCTCTGCCCCACCTCTCTCCACCAGCCACTTGCTCTTCGTTTGCCTTTGGGACGAGTTCTCTGGGATGGAACCTAGTGTGGAGTCAGAGTTGAAAAGGACACCAGGCCATGTGACAGCGCCCTGAGGACCATGAGGACCCATCAGTCGCTTTTAAAATATTCCTTTAAATCAAGCTGGAATGCCACTTCCAGGGCACACTATAGAGCGTCCCTGGCACCTGCCCCAGGCCACTGCTCAGGGAGGCAGCAGGGTGCAGGAAAGCGCTGATAGGAGCCTCCTCTTCACCCAGCAGCACCGCAGGATCACGTGACAGACCCACCTGCCTGCTCAAAGACAGCCCTGCCTCCAGGCCGCTGTCCCCCTCCAGGTGCTTCTAAGAATTAATCTTTTTTTTTTTTTTTCTTCCCGGAACCGTTCAGGCCCTTGCGCTTGCCAGGGAAACGCTTATTCCACTGAGCCATCTCCCCAGCCCCTAAGAACTAATCTTAATGACTAGAAACTCAAAGTTCTGTTCCTCATCCTGTGTTGCTAATCCTAATCCCTTATTACTTTTGCTGAGGAGCCGCAAGGTGCCTTGGATAGCATGCTTCATATTTCTAAGCCTCAGATTTGAGTTTTCTTCAAAATAAGCTAAAGCAGTGGCTATGCCTGCATCTCGGAGGCAAGCTCCCCTCCTGAGTGTCCTTAGTGGAATCTTACACGATGTGCCACAGACCGTGGCATTTTCTAGGGGCTCTGGTGGGGGCGCAGGTTGCTTCACATGTGGAATTGCCACCGGGAAGTGGGCGGGTCAGCTGGGAGAGAGCGCACGCCCGGAATCCCGGAATCCGTCGACCTGCAGAAAGGAACAGCAAGGGGCTGCACCTGCGAGGTCAGCGCCCACGCAGGAGCCAGAGCGTGGGTGGCGGTGGGCAGAACATCCCAGGGGCTCGTACAGCACGCAGACGGGAGACGGGTGTGTTAATGGTGATAAAAATACAATTTTGCCTTTTCTAAAACACAGAAGACATATTTTAAGAATGGGGAAATGCGCCGGGCTCTGCTCGGAGCTGCGCCTCCCGCAGAATCCCAGCACCGCCCTCCGCTCCGGGTGTGCTGCTGTTTCCCAGGCGGGCTCCAGCGAGGCCCAGAGCGGATGCTCTTCCCAGGTGGCCCGCAGTTCCGAGTCGCCTCCGCCCGCACTGCAGCTGCGGTGGGAAGCGCACAGGGCAGCAGAGGGCCGGACCTTGCTGAATGCCACCGGACAGAGGACACTCAGCAGCACCCATCGCTGGCCACGGCTCTCCCCAGACCCGCTCAGCCGTGCCTGGTGGTAGAAGAGCCGCGTCTCGTTGGGAACCGAGTGGTCACCATCGCGGCCTCTGCTCACTGGCTGGCAAGCAAGCCCGCGTAGCTTCCGAAACCCACATCCCCGCCCACACAGGGGTCCAGAGCCACCCAAGCGTGCGCTGCGCTGTCCCTAAATTCCAGCAGGCCCAGTTTGAGAGGAGGGTGAAGTACCTCGCAGAGGGCTCACTGCGGTCCTGAGGAATCCGTGCTCGCCGCCAAGCGGTTTCACACTGAGCTCTGGTTAGAATTATGTTCGATGATATTATTGTCATTAATTCATCACTGTTAACATTTTTTAAAAAATCTGACTGAAAACGTACATTTATTTAAAGTAATCTATCTTATGTTTCATCATTGGTGGTTGCATATCTAAAAAATTTCTAAATTTTAAGGTGCATCTCAATTAGTATACCAAGATAAATGGAAGGAAACAGCAGAAAGGAACTCCCCTGCTATGTCCATGTACCTAACAGTTCATATTCTATAAATCCTGATAGTCTGTTTGAGAAGCATCTTTTGTTTAAAAAAGACTTTACAAAATACTCATTGCCTAACTAGAAGGAACAACTAAGTAAATAAGATGCGTTCCTTTGCACACGAGTTTGTGGTCATTGGTGAAAAGCCGATTGCTGGGGTTTCTGGGCGCTGTAAGTTGTTTTAATACATTTCTATTGCGTGCCTTTACGCAGGGATACAGGATGTCTCCCTTCACAACTCCCTAAGCGCTTGCTTCAGGAGCCTGTTAGAGCAACGCGGAGCTGCTAACAGGGCCCTCGTTTTTGGTGCTCCATTTGTGCACATCCATGTCTATGCAGATTGCTTCTATTTTAATTAACCTGAAAATAGCTGGGGGGAAAGGAAGCAGGAGGCACGTGTGTGAACATCGCACTGGCAGGAAATCCTTCCCTCTGGAGTGGCAGTCGCTGCTGCAGGCTCTGGGCGCGTGTGGGCTGCGGCGGTGCAGCCCACAATGACACACTGCATGTGCAAGTTCTTGGGCGGCCGCACAAGCAGTTGCACTATGCAGAGTAGATTAAGGACTCAAATAAGACTTTCTGTTTCTTGAAATCCCCCTTATTTTAGTCACATGAGTGTGTGGAAGAGGAGGGGTCCTTACTTTGTGTTTGCTTTGGAAAAGTTGAGGTTCTACGGTGAAAGCCCAAGTCCACCTGCCCCAAATTACAGCACATGGATGGCCAGCTGGGAGACGCGGCTGCAGGTGAGGCGCGCCTGGTCGCTGGCGCCCAGTGCGTGCCCTGCGTCTGCACCCTGCGTCCGGCTGGCTGCTTGGTCATGCTCAGCGAGCCTGCCCTTGCTTCTCATGGCGTGGCACCCGCCAGGGTAGAGCACACGCTCTTGCGGCTGCGCGCTGTCAAGGCTCACCTTTCCCGGCCTTCTCTCTCCAGCGCAGTGCCCAGCGAATGAAATCCGGACGGAATCCTCTGGAGTGATCCTCAGCCCTGGGTACCCCAGCAACTACTTCAACTCCCAGACGTGTTCTTGGAGCATTAAGGTGGAGCCGAGCTTCAACATCACCATCTTTGTGGACACCTTTCAGAGTGAGAAGCAATTTGATTCACTGGAAATATTTGACGGTAAGTTTCTTCCGTTCCCGTACAGCCATGACCTATAAAGTAGGACTATGAACACCATTCTAGTGCCGTGCAGCACAAGGACGTGGGTACTTTCCAGTTGTGTCCCACCTTCTCTAGAGAAAGCAGAACAAAACAAGACAGGAGCTGGATTACTCTGGGATTTACATGTTCTCAGAGCTCAAGTGGTTTTAAAGCAACATCGTACTAATATTCTGGCTACAAGTTTTCAAAGAGAATGTTTAATGGTGCGTTCTCCATTGTACTGAATTTTAAACAACCTGTAATTCTTTCACACGTGTCTTCAGAGTAGGAGTCTCAAGCAGCCCTTCTTTTATTTACAAAATACGGTGTTGTATTGATCCACAAGGCGCTTTGGGAAAACAAAGAAATTCAGAAAAATTCTGATCTATCTACACAGTGATTTTACACAAAATATGTGAAAATGATGACTCACAAAGACTTGTAGCCTGTAAGTGTTGAATACATCTTTAATGTACACTTTAAAAAATAACTCCAGTTAACTAAAAGATGCTAGTACTATTTTTAATGCTAGTCTTATGCTTCTTATGTTACTATACTGGACATTTTCATACAATAGTGTGTGTGGCTGAACTGTCAATTTGAAATGGGGCTGATGCTAATATTTGTCTTTGCTTGGAGGCTTCATCTGGCCCAAGGTGCAATGGTCAGTGCGGTCAGATGGCTCACGAGACTTCTCCCACCAAATCCAAGTGTGCATTCCGGAAAATACTACCGCCTGGAAATTAAGCTCACATTTCTGTACATAACAATAGGGCACCAGAGAGAGTGTGTGTGCTTGTAGGAGTGTGAAGCTATGCCACAGTGGGCGTGCATTCCTAAAGACATTTTCCCTCCATCTTTAAAATGCAGAAAAATCATTCACTAGCCATGTTGGAGAAATGCGCTTGTAACGTAGATAGGCAAGTGAGACAGCTGCAGTCCTGTGGCCCTACTGAGTGTGACAAAAAATACACAAAAGGAAACAGCCATCTTCCAGGCTGTGTGTCCATGTGTGAACGTGTGTGTGTGTGGATATGTGTTGTCATGCATGCCATATATAATCAAATGTATGTAAATACTTAGTTTAAATGTATGCATGGAATATAGCCAATAGTATTTTACGCCTCTTGTCTCAGTTACTCTTCTCTCGTTGCTGGGACAAATACCCAACACCCAAAATGAAGGAAGGAGAGGTTTATTTAGCTCATGGCTGTTGGAGACTTCAGTCTATATGTGGCTGGCACAGAGTGGCACAGGACAGAGGGCAGCAGCGCCTGGCGGTGGAAGGCAGCACAACAGCAAGGCTAGAAGCAGCGACAACAGAGAGCCAGTTTGTCTCTGTCTCTCTTACATTACATTCAGGTTATCCGCCCCAGGTGGGTGTAGTACTCACACCCATAATCCCAGCTTTGGATTAAGAATTAATCACAAACTGTAGAACTGAACCTCAGTGACTTCATGAGGCTTTGAGGGGGCAAATACACACAAACCATAACACCTCTTGATTTCAGAAGCTGAATACTTATCGATAACTTACGCACCGATTGCTTACAGTCCAGTCTCTGCCAACAAGGGACTGCACCCATTATAAACAACAGCACAACAGATTCTAAAGACAACATTGTGGCAGTCGCTGCCAACATCATCAAAGTTGCACGAGGAATGTTGTTCTGCTCCCAAAGATTTTTCTATAAAACAAAAGGTCAGAGTTTTATATGAATAATGTTTTCAAGCGAGGGCATTTTTGTTGCAGTAAATGTCATGTTTGTCTGGTTTGGTGAGTCACAGGCTCCTTTATAGCCCATGAGTGGACCAGAAAATGCGCTGAATGTATTGATTTTAAACGTTACTAGCCCAGGAGTTTGCTACTCTCTGTGGCTCAGGGTGGATACACCGCACTGTTCCAGAGTGGAACTTTAATCCTCAAGAAACTTGGTTGAGAAAGCAATCAAAACGGAGACTCTTGGCCCCTCTGCTCCTTGCCAGCTGGGTCTCCCTGGTGCAGGGTGTCAGCTTTCAGAGAAGAACCCAGGAAAGCACCTTGTGTTTTAAGCAAAACAGATGGAGAGTAATGCGGGAGCTGATGTAGGATTGGCAGGGCCCGAAGCTTGCTCTTGCAGTCAGTCACTAAAACGACACGTTACCACGCGGTGAGTTTAGGTTGATTCATTTCCTGGAGGCACTTTATCTTAAGTATGTGTTATCTCTTTGAGCAACAGCAGCCGCACGTAGGGTGCACAGCTGCGGTTCGGCTCCGGAGCACAGTTGTCCTTTGCAGCGTGTCACAGGGAGAGGCGCGCTGTCTGCTGCCCGTCTCGGTGCCCTGTGCTGGTTTTCTGCATGTGCGCCTCGCTGTTCACAGAGCGCCACAGATGCTCACACCACAGGAAGTGGTGGTCTCGCAGCCCTAGAGCCCGGGTGTCTGAGAGCTGGGTGCCCTGGGGGATGGTGTGCTGCTCTCCTGTGCCCACCTCTGCCTGCCTGCCTGCTGGAGTCCTGGTCCTCTGCCCCTTCCTCAAGGACACTTGCGCTCCTCTGTGCACGCTCGCTCTGCCCACCCCTGGTGGCTCTGCAAGCACAGCTGAGCCTCTGGAGGTGCACTCAGGAAATCGCTGGCGTCACAGTGAGCAAAACTGTGGTTTCTCAGCATCTCAGCACAAATGAGAACCCTCCGTGCAGCTCTCAGAGATAAGATGTCGCTGCCCTGATGACCCTTGTACTGTGAGTAGCATGGCCAGCCACGTTCCACCCTCCTGGACTGTGTTCCCAGAGATTGAACTGTGGTGTGCAGGGCAGCTGCGAAGTCCAGGAGGAACTGCTGCGCGTGGGCGCTAGCCGGGAGGCCTGGGAGAGCGCAGGAGGGAGTGCTGCGCGTGCGCGCTCGCCGGGAGGCCTGGGAGAGTGCAGGCAGCTCTGAGGTCAGCAGGGCAGTGTCTCCAGGCCTTGCCCACTTGGATTAACAGCACCCTTCTGTTGATGTTGTTTTTTGAAGCTTTTTTGAGCCAGGGACAGGGTTCAGTGGCATAAGCACCTGCCTGGTGAGCACAAGGTCCTGTGTTTGATCCCTGGTACAAAAAAAAAAAAAAAAGACTTCTTTGAGAAATTCCAAGTAAACAGGAAAAAAAAAAAAAACATTTGTAGGTAATGGATTTTAGAGGTTTTTTTCCCCTTTATAATTTATTCAGGCTTTTAAAAATAAAGCAGCAATGCCTAGCGAAATGACTCAGCAGTTTAAAACACGTGCTTAGGCAGACGCAGGGGCTGAGAGTTCAATCCCCAGCGGGCAGTGCTGGCCCGGCCCTGGGGCTGTGCTGAGTCAGCGATTGAGACTGCGCCTGATGGCACGCACCTGTAATCCCAGCCCTTGGGAAGCTGTAAACCAAGGATCGCTAGGAGTCTAATCTACACAGTGAGACCCTGTAGACCCTGTCCTAAATGCTAAATAAATAAATAAATAAATAAAGCAGCAAAGCACAGGGTCACACGGAGGCCCCCGGGGCAGCCCTGTCTAGCTCCTGCCAGAGGTTGCTGGCCTGGTCCAGGGCTCTGTGGCCCAGTTATGGCTTGTTTTCTTAACCGACTCCTTGTCTGTCTCTCCCCATGTGCCTCGTCTGTCTGCCCTCCCACCGCCCACCCTCTGACCGCGCGCGCACACTGGGTATGTGGGTACCTTTGAGTTTTTGTATCATTGCTATATTTATCTGCAAGCAGGTTTTCTTAGATGTCAGTGTATCAGTCCCAGAATTATCTAAACTGATAATATGTGTCACTAAGGAAATGCATAATTCATTTATATGTGTATATGCTTATATATAAATTTTAGATTCTATAATAATTTACTTTCTTTTAGTATTTCTAATACTTTCATAGAACTCCAAACTATAGCTGGGCTCTGGGCTTTTCCGTGGGAAGCTAAGCTAGGGCACACGCTCGGCTTCAGCCAGGCGCTTCTGCACATGTACTAGAGTTTGAGGAGATACACCTGTGTCCTTAGTGTCTGATATCAGTAAGTACTGGGAAGCGCCCCGAGAGGCTGCCAGTCCCCACACCCGCCTGTGGCGTGGGCAGCTCCCCTCCTGTACACACACTGCGCTGTAAAAGCTGATGCGATGGAAATCCCTTCTATTGCCCAGTGCGGCTGTTCACGGGATGGTTTACTTAAGCCCTGCATCCTTAATAGCTCATAAGCCCACCATGTTCCTCCCTATTTCATTTTTATCAAGGAGTATACCTGTGGCTGTGACTGTTTGGAATCCTTCACCCTTTTAGAAGGAAACGGCAGGGCGTGGTTCCATCTAGGCCAACGCTGTACCTGCACATGGGCAGCGCTAGCCCAGCCCTGAGCTTCTCCTCTCCTCTTTCTGGCAGGATCTTCTGGGCAGAGCCCTCTGCTCGTGGTCCTGAGCGGGAACCACACTGAGCAGTCCAGCTTCACCAGCCGGGGCCACCAGCTCTTCCTCCGCTGGTCCACCGACCACGCGACCAGCAAGAAGGGCTTCAAGATCCGCTATGCAGGTGAGCTGCGGGGCCAGCGCTCAGCCGGTCTGAAACGTGTTGCGGTGGCAAATTAAGCCGGACTGCGAGCTGTGCATCCCTAGGTCCGGGCGAAAGAGTGTGTCGGAAAGCGCTCCGCGCTCGCGCCACGTGGCCCAGGTGCACCAGTGATGCCTCAGCACCTGCTGTTAAGCGATAAAGCATTGATCCTGTGCTGTAGGCAAAAGGCCTGCTCTCAGAAGATGAAATATAACTGAAGTCACGTGGGAACAAACGGGAGGGGATTATTGTATTACTAGTAAAACGTCGGTGATAAAATTCTGACTATGAAGAGCATGTGTGCTTCTTAGATATGTGCACACATCATATGTAGCATGCACATGCATGCAGTGTACACGTACATGTGACAAGCGTCTCGTCTGTCTTTCCTGTCGCAGTGTGGATTATTTTCCTCATTCTCCGCATGTGTTAACCGTTCTCTTTCAGTCATTACTTATATTTCCTAAATCACCAGTTACTCAACTAATGATGTAAATCAGCCACTGCCTCTGTGAGCCTGGGCTTGTCCTTGACCCGGCCTGCTGTGTCGCCCTCCGTGTCATACAGAGACTCCGCCAGTCCTTTGGAATATTTTAGTTACTAAATGACAGTGACAGCAATAAAGCCGCATGTGCTTCCTAGCCTGTGGCCTGTGTCTGAGGTCCCTGTGGCCGTGCTTGACCTGCACCCAAGGACACCGACCTGTCGACAGGGATTGCGTGGGTCTGCACAGCAGGCGGTACAGGTCCCTCTGTGGCTGCTGCTGCTGCGCTGGGCTCTAGGCCCACGAGCAGCATGGAGCAGGAAGTGTCTCCCTGGTTTACAGACAAGGCTGCCACGTGCCCTGGCTGGAGTCATCTGGAGGGCTGTGCAGGGCTCCAGGTGAGGACAAGGCCTGAGGGGCAGCCTCCCCTCTGCAGGAAGGACACGCCGAGGCCCATGGCACCTGTGCTACCGCAGCCACAGAGCAGGGACCACATTTCCACCCATTGAAATCTTTCCTCTGAGAAGTAGACGGGTGCCGGACTTTTCAAACTGAATTTATTTCCAGCATGTGAAATGATCAGCATGGGGGTGGCTCTGCAGCCCCACCATCCGGGGAGGGGCTGTTGATGCCTCCGGGTCTGCAGAAGCACTGGGAGATTCAGTGCTGGGTGAGTCCATCCTGCAGGCCTGGGCCCTGGGACCCTCCAGGCCTGGGCCTGTGTCCCCAGGCTGCTCCCGAGCTCCCCAGCTCCTAGCTGCGTGGTCTCCCTCATGTTGGGAGAATCCAGAGTGCAGGCCTGTGGCCTACACTTACCTCCGCTGGGCCCTGTGTGCTCCCCGTGGCCCCCGCACGCTACTCCAGGAGCACAGGAAGGAAGGCGCATGCTGAGAGCTGAAGATGGAATGAACGGGACACGAGGTCTGTGGCAGAAGCTGGAGCTCGAGCGCCTTCCACACTGTCCCACGGGCCGCAGGAGCAGAGGCCCCCACCCAACAAGTGTGTTGTGTTGACTCATCCCTCGGTCTGGGTCTGGCCCTTGCTCTTCCCCTGCAGAGATCCCAGACAGGTGGTGGTCAGGTGCTGCCTGTGACACTGTTCCTAAACCAGTGGCTTGGACTCTTTCAAGGCTCACAGCAGCGTGGGCTGAAATGATTGGAAATAAGGGCAGACTGGCAGTGGCGCAGGAAGCCAGAGCCCTAGGCCAGGCGGTGGGCTTTGGGGAGAAGCACCCGCCAGCTGGGGGCTGTGGATGCAGCCTGCAGCCACGCAGACAGCGTCTCCCAGGAGGCCGGTGCCAAAGGAGTGCTGAGGGCCCCGGGCAGCCCAAACTCGCTCCTGGGCAGGTGGAAGCAGAAGACTCAGAAAGCTGCTGGAGGAACGGGAGCTTCCAGTCCTTAAATGTGTGTTTCCATTGATTTGAGGTTATTCACAAAGTTTTGTGCCTAATGCACCAGCCCTGTAACCCTAAAGTAAGGTTCTTTTTCTACTCGGTTGTTTTCTATCCACGTAAATAAGAAGCAAAGTTGTTTAGCTACCACAACATTACCCTGGGACCAGCGAAATAGCTCAGTGGACTAAGCGCCTACTTAGGCAAGTGCAGGGACTGGGGTTCAATCCCTGGCACCACATACTGTGCCAGCCCCACATCTTGGCATGCTGAGCCAGCCACTGTGTTCTACTGTGGGGGTGTGCCCCTGTAATCCTAGCTTTGGGGAGGCTGAAAACAGAAGGGTCACTACAAGTCTGAGCTGTGTAATGAGACCCTGTACCAAATACATTTTTAAAAAAGTGACACTGTGAGGTGAGGACCATTATTTTAGCAGATGTCTGTCTCCAACTTAGAAAACCCTCCCTCCAAAGAAGGAGCAGAGCAGTGCTAGGGTCTTTATTGATCCAAAGCAGTAACTTTTCCTCTGTCTTAGTTATTTTTCTCTTGTTGCTGGGACCCCAAGGCTAAAGGAGGAAAGATTTGTTTAGCTCACCGTCTCTGGAGGTTTCAGTCCAAGATCAGCTGGCTGCAAAGTGTGGCGACTCTTGGCAGAGGGCAGCAGCTCGTGGCGGAGGAAGACGGCACAAGCATCTGGCGGGCGCAGCACTCAGACTCCAAATCCTGGCACTGGACAGTAACCAATCACAAACTCCAGATTCGGCCACCTCCCGTGAGTGGCTCCCCGTGGCTTCAGGGGACACCTAGACACAACACTGTCCTGCTCAGATATGTCGCTGAAATGCCACATATTGGAAAAGAAGCAAAGTCTGCCTGGGGCGCCATGCCGAAGCCCCTTAGCATGTGGACAGTCACCAGAGCAGGGCAAAGCATCAGGCTCAATTTTATCCTTCGAATCATTTTTAACATTAGAAAGCATTTCATTTCAAATTGGAGCCCTGAGCAGCCCCCAGCACTTCCCATTCTGTGAGCCCGTCACAGCCTAGCAGGGTTGCGCCTGCCCCGGACACTGCGGCCGGGACCCCTCCTTCTCGGGGAATCCAGCTCCAGCAGCTGAGTTTCAGAGGAAGGGTGTGGATTCTGGGCTCTTGTGTGTAGGATAAGTTTCTGTAGTGATGTTAATTTCACGTGCATGTGTGTGAGACAGAGTGTGCGTGAGTAGTGAGCGTGCCTGATCCCGGGGAGCAAGCCAGGCCTCTGCGCTGAGCCGCTCATCCAGCCACTCACATACGAGCTCACACTTGAGGCGGGATCTCATCCAGCCACCAGGCTGAGCAGGCTGGGGTGCAACCTGCCACCTTCCTGCCTCGGCCTCCCAGAGTGCTGGGGTTACAGGCGTGCACCGCCACACCCAGCTCATTTCCTACTTTTTCATAGCTGCAGATTTCCTTTGTGTTGCCCTTCCAGGGGCAGATGGCCCTTTCTTTCCTTATGACCTGCTCTGTGGCAGATGGCCCTGCCTCTCCTTATGACCTGCTCTGTGGCAGATGGCCCTGCCTCTCCTTCTTATGACCTGCTCTGTATGTGATTTTGTGCCCACAGCCCCGTACTGCAGTCTGAGCTCCACTCTGAAGGACGGCGGAGTTGTGAACAGGACAACAGGGGCCATCGGGAGCAAAGTGCAGTACTTCTGCAAGCCTGGGTACCGCATGGTGGGCCCCAGCAATGCCACCTGCAGCCGGAACCCCATGGGAATGTACCAGTGGGATGCCCTCACACCCATCTGCCAGGGTAAGACAGCTCCCAGCCTTGACCTCGGGCCCATTCTTGCCTTGATCATGCTCAGAACTGGGTGGCCGTGGAGGCCAGGTAAGGAGAGAAGAGCGTGGGCTTCGCACAGCCTGACAAGGTTGCTGCCCACCGTGCAAACACCACTGACCTTGAGGTGGGCTGCCTCAGTGCAGAGCCTGAATTTAGAGAAGGGTCACCAGTGGGTCCCTTCTTGAACTCACCGCGGGTCATCGCGAAGCAAAACCTGTGCCATGCACTCAGGTCTGAAGTGATTCCTTGACATCACTGTATAGTTAGTGGTCTGCTTTGAACAGCCCTCTCTCCTTATTTTGGCTTCAGCCGGTGATGGCAAACCTTTCTGAGCTTTCAGTGGTAATAAATAGTCCTCTGAGGTTTGCCACTGCTAGTTTAATTAGTCCTTCTTTGAGCCTTCAGTTTATATTTGATTTTCTCTTTGCTCATTTCAACCTAGGGTTTGTTAGCAGTGATTTCAACATTCTAGGCCTGTTTACCTGTTGTATGCATGGAAACCAGGTTTTCTCGTAAGAATTCTAATTCTGGTTGGCAGCTGGAGTGCTGATGTGCCCGCGTCCCGCCTTCCCGGGTTTGTATTCGCAGCCGGTCACATTCGGCTCAAGAGGGCAGTCTGCCTCGTGAGTGCAGCTTCGTGCCGGGCCATCCCATCTGGGCGCTCTTTTCTAGCCTGCTCTGGGGGGGAGCAGGCATTTGCCACGCTCCCTGTGTCTGTAGCCATCGCCGGGGCGCGTGTTGTGTCCACCTTGATTGAGGTGGACATAATGGTAGATGCACGCAGCTGTCTTAGTGGGGATGGGGAAGTTTTCTGAGAGCTCTTCCCTGGATGCTATACCTTCCACTGGCTCCAATTGTTCATTGATTCTGTGACGTGCTCGGTGACGCGCTGTGCCATCCAGCCTAGACTCCAGGGGTTGGAGCAGGGCCTCCGATGCAGGAGCCCCTGAACCCTGGCCCTGGAGACTGAGTCAGTCGGAGCCCTGGGGGGATGCGCTCTCAGCAGGGCCCCAGACAGCCCTGCTCAGGCGTCATGGGGACATGGGGTGCTGGCAGGGTGAGGGGCCGGTCCCCTTGAATTCCACACTGGAGCTGGCTTCCCAGAAGCTTGATGCGAAGGAGAGGAGGAGCTCCTGCCTCCCGCCTCCCTGGAGCAGCTCGAGGGCAGAGCAGGACCCGCGCCCCTGGCGGTGCTCCCTTGGCGCCCACCCCCTGAGAACCGGGCTCACACCGGGGAGCTGCTGTATCCTTTTTCCTTCACAAATGTTGACCTTTCGGTCACAAAGGGACGGGCCCTAAGTGCAACCTGGTGCTGTGGAGGCTGCGCTTTTACCCAGCAGTTCCATGTGGTCACGTGACTTACTGTTAAGGAGGGGAGACCAGGCCTGGAGCCCAGCCTCTCTGCTCGCCTGTTCCTGTGGTCGTCAGCAGCTTCCTGCCAAAAGAAATTCCACTGGAAGGAAATCTAGTGGACGGCACGTGTGGGAGCAGCCTGTGCCTGCGGGCTAAAATTCTTTTACTGTAGAGGAGGTTTTAGCTTTAGTTTTCTCTTAGTTATAATTTGTGTAAAATGACATCCAAACTAAAACATTATAATATGATTTCATCATTTATGGGGCTGTGATGTTTAAAATAAAGTAAGAAAGTATTGTAAATAGGTTTTTTTTTATAATCTTAATTATATAGTACAATTAAGGAATTTGACATCTAAAAATAAAATTAAATATTTAAACTAGGTAGTGAAAATTCTTATTTGGATAAGTAAAGATTGCTGAGGAAGATTATACAAACTTTTAACAGAACAAATTTGTGCAATGCGCAATCCCAACTTCCGTCCTGAAGGCCTGTGGGCACAGCTGGAGAATTTCACTAAATTACTACAGAATCTGGGCCTAAGCGTGCAGCTCTGTGCTGTGCAGTGTGGGGCGTGGATGTGTCTGAGCTGCTGGGCTGCGCCTTCCCAGGTTCAGGCCTCTCCCGCCAGCTCTGGGCCGCCTCTGGTCCTGCCCTACCCTTGCCCAGCCAGTGTGGGGGCTGTCGGCCCAGTCAGGTGTGTGGTGGTTATGTGCATCACGGTGCAGTAGGCGCGTTTCCTCCTGGGGGCTCCCGGCCCGGTCACGAGGACAAGCGTCCTGAGTCCCAGCAACCCAGAGGACACACACTGCAGGCTGTCCAGACTTAGCAGCACCCTTCTGCTGTGGGAGCTGAACTCTTCATGCTGCTGTCCCATGTGAGACTGCTCAGAGGAAGCTGCTCAGGGGCCACAGGCTGGGGGTGGCGGCGGCAAGGGGACAGAGCCAGAGCAGGGCGGACGGGGACCTGGCATGCTCTCCTTGACTCGCAGCTGTGATGGGGGCTGACCACGGCTCCTGGACACAGCTCAGCGTTGCCGACAGAGAGGAGGCTGAATAGTCCCAAGGCGGGGGCAGGGGCGGCAGTGTGAAGCGTGCATGTGCTGGTGGCCTGGTGGCCTTGGCCCCTACTTGTCACACACAGAGATCAAGGTGCCATGTCCCACCAGCATCCAACACCAATTTAAAATAATTAAATATTAAAACTTCAAAAAAGATTAGCCTAAGTCTGAAAATATCTACTGACATTCTGATTAAAAAATATTTTTCCCACATTAAAAATGCAAATACTAAGATAAATCTAAATTCTGTCTGGCCATTAGTATCTTGGTTTACTGTTTACTTTATTATGGACACACATGCTATAGTTAGATGATTTGTTCAGTTTTAGCATAGTTGAAAATATGTACATTCTTTAAAAAAACAAACCCTGATTCCCTTGTCCAGAGAGAGCTCATTCATCCGGGTGGATCAGCACCGGCACGGGTCTCGCCTGCTGAGGACTCTGACCTTGCTGCGAAGTCCAGGCCCAGGGGCTTCTCTGAAGTGCGCAGAGGCTGCCGAGGAGAGAGTCGGCAGGCTGTGAGGGGCCCGCGCGGCTCAGGCTGTCTGCACTCCAGCGGCCGGTAGGCTCTCGGCCTCAGCTTGTCCGCAGGGGTCATGTGAACGGATGTGAGCTCAGGAAGTGGTCGCTGTTGGGCAGCGTTTTGCCTCTGGAACCTGAGCACTGCAAGCACACCATGCCAGAGGGCTGTGGGAGCTGCTTTGTGGAGAGAGAGAGTCTCTGTGGTCTCTGGCCCTGTTTGTTTTCATTTGCTCTGCTGCAGGGAAACATGGTGATAACCATGGGCTTGTACTCGTAGACCAAACTAGGGCTAACCCAAGCACTCCTGTCCGAGGATGCGCATCTTCCACTTCCATTCATCCTGCAGGGGGCACTGCATGTGTGAGGTGAGAAACACTGCCCAGCTCTGATGGGCAGAGAGCTGGGTGGGAAGGGACTTGAACAGCATGGAGGGTACAGCAGAGCTGTATAGCAGAGCAGCGCAGAGTGGGCACGGCAACCTGGAGCAGGGGGACAGGGGGCCTAGTGCTCCCCCGCTGGGAGGTTCGTACTGGCATGGACAGGGTCAATTCTCGTGGACAACGAGAGAGGAGGAGGTGGGCCAGGCACTGGAAGCTCTCGGCGGACCTTCAGGAGGCATTTACTTTCTGTCCCGGGGCAGATGGGGTCTACTTAGAATCTTCCTTTTTCTTATTGAAAGTGCTGGCTGTTGAACGCAGGGCCTTGCACCTGGTTAGCAAGTGCTTTACCCTGAGCCACATCCCCAGCTTGACGGGATCTATTTAAGATCAAAAGAAAGACTAGCCCTGTGCATTTATGAGTTTGATGTGTAGTGGGGGATCCCAGTGGGTCCTGTCTGGATCACCACACTTAGGAGGCCATGCGTTGGGCCATTCTAAATCTACCACAAATAGCGGGAAGACAGGTTGGGCAAGAAAACGTAATAAAATATTTTGGCGGTAGTGTCTAAGGTCCCTGGGGCAGCGTGAGAGGCGTGATGAGAGATGTGGGAGATTTAGGCTCTGCTGATCTTGAGGTGGGAGCGCCTGGTCCATGGCTGGATATGGACTGTGGGGACCGGGAGGCCCAGGGTGGCTGTGCCCCGGGACTGTGGCCAGGGTCGCCACCAAGGCAGACCCTCAGGGAGGCCGAGCTCCCCCTTTTGCAGAAAGGGTGGCTTAAACTAGTGTCCCATGATGAGTACACCTTTGCTTTCCACCAGATATTTGGCTTTTGTTAGTTTGATAAGAACCAATTCCAAAAATAAAATAGTAATGTTAGTCTGTGAGCTGCTTGGTGACGCACCAGTGTCACCTCAGCTCTCAAGAGGCTGAGGCCGGAGGGTTGCCCTGATTTTAAGGCCAGCCTGGGTGCCATGGTGAGTTCAAGGCCAGCCAGAAATACATAGCAAGAATCTATCTAAGGGCCAGGGGGCTGGCTCAGTGGAATAAGCACCTGCCTGGCGAGCTCAGGGGCCTAAGTTCAATCCCCAGTTCAGCCAAAAAAAAACACCAAAGTCTATCTAAAAAATAATTGTATAAATAAATAAATAACAACAACAAAAACTAGTATCTGCAGCAATAAATTTCACTCTAGACACCTTCACTAACAGACAAATGACATCTGAACTGCCTGACAAGAGGTCAGGTGCAGTCAGAACTGCTACAACTCCTGCAGACATCTGGAGATAGTCCAGAATTTGTTAACTAATGCAAGTGTGGGAATGATTTCCTATCCTCACTGAACTCAAAGGTTGTCACAGCTACTTCATCTTCATTTGAAAATGAAGGACTGGAACCCTGAAGAATCAGTGACTAAGTAAATAAATTTCTCTTTCGAGCCTGTTCTAAAATATTTAATATTTCAGCTACGCTTGCCGTGTAGAATGTTTTGCCACGATCTGAAGTTTTCTTTCATTTGTACAGAAGAATAAGGCCAGTTTCTGCATTATCTGATTGCATCAGCACCTTCATTTCTTAAAACACGGTCTCAAGAGTGTGTGGTTAGCGCCCCAGAAGCCAGCCTTCTCCCCCCACTAGCACGGTCAGGCTGCC